ATTCGATAATTTCAAGAAATTGACATTCAATGGCCGCCAAGAAGTTGTGAATTAAAATCCTTAGACTACTTTTGTGGGGTTATTTGAAGTCATTGGTCTTTAGCAATAAACCAGACTCCCTTCAAGCTTTAGAAGTCAATATTGAACGTGCTATTCATGACATACGACTTGATTTAGTGGAAAAGTACTCAAAATTGGGTTCATCGGATTCGTTCCCGTAAAGAAGTCGTGGAGGCCATTTGAATGATGTTGTATTCAAAACTTAATTGTATCTATTGTACTTCACACTAACTAAAAGCATTTGAATTTCCTTAACAATTAGTGGGGTTTTTTTGAAATCATATCACTCTTATAGGAAAACCCTGTATTTATATTCTTTCAATATGTTAATACAATAGTTTTGATCACCCAACGGTTGTTTGTATCACCTCAAACTATTCGAGTTATGTGGTATATGGTACTCGTATATACATAAATGATTAGGATGAAGAAACGAGTTGAAATCCAGACGACTGTCTGTCCGTCCGTCCTTCGGTCCATTGGTATTGTAGATGGGCGTATAATTTCAACCAAATGTGGCTAGTAGTAATATGCTGACATTCCTATGTTACAGTGCCGATGGGCAAAATCGGATTAAAACCACGCCTACTTCCTATACAACACAAATTTTATTCCATCTGATTTTTTGACTTTCCAGTATACAAATTAAGAACTAATGAATATATTGAAATCAAACTTTGGAAAATAGTGCCTTTAAAGTATGCCATCTCAGATCTAAAAATTGTCAAAATCGGACCTTAACTATTCAAGCCCCAAGATACCGGAAATGGCAACCCGATTGATTTTTTACCGAAATTATCGTTCGATGTATGAGATATATGATTGCAATTCGGAAAGAATCCTTTCCTAATAATGTTATATTTGCATGTCAAAAATGAATTGAATCGGGTCAATACTTCTTTTAGCCCCTTTATACCTAATAGAAACATTTTCAAAATTCCGGTTGACTTTATACCGCATATATAGACCAATATGTAAGTTATTTTAATAACTATTATATTATATTTTATCATTTTTTCCTAACCTATCCACTTTTTATTCAGTATTAATTTATTTAATAACACTTACCTGCCCATGAATTTGCAGAATTGTTAATGAAAATATAGGAATTATATTTGAATTTAAACCTTATTAATATTAATAACTTCTTACATGATAAAAAAAAATATAAAAAATATATTAAAAAATATCATTCAATACATTTATTTTTATTAAAAGTAAAAAAATGGAATAAAGGGTACAAAAACTACAATTTATAATTTTAATCATCTTCTTCCTCTTCATCGTCGTCTTCCGGCTGCTGGTAAATTTCAAACTGGTCTTCATTATCGTCTTCAACGACAACGACATTCTTCCATGATTTCGGGGTCAAAAGTTCCATCTTCGTTAATGTCGCTCTGATATGGTAGAGCATTGAGACAAGCTTGTCCATTACATTGGCCACAAGCTAAAGAGCATTGCAAGCCCGCTTTCCTGCATCCGCATCGCGAACCACAACCACTCTTGCAGTTGCAGAAAATTGTATTTAGCAAATGTTCTGGAGCAGGTGGTAAAATTGTCATGATAGGCTCCAGAAAATCGTTTCGCATTGCCCAACCCCATACCTGGGGTTCCAAATCATGCCCTAACCAAGTTTGAACTTGGTTCGAAATGTTGATGAGCAGCTGCACTTGTTGGTGGAATATTTGAAAGCTGCACAGGTTTATTAAGTTTTGTAGACTTGACGTAATGCATATAACGAAGATGATCGAGACTTTTCACAGATTTCGGAGCATTATAGACTGCAATAAGGTTTGAGTTCACTTCTTAATAATCTCTGGCCGAACAATTTCTTCCTCAAATGCTGCAGCTAGTTCATCCAAATTGGACAGTTTCTCAAAAATTTTTAAAAATGTTTTTTTTCCCTTTTTAAAAAGCGCAGAAGTTGTGTCACATCCACTTAATGCGTGCAGAAATAAAATATGTGTTTTGGAATGAGGATAATTGTCAAAACTTTTAGTCGAGTATATCTCCGTTTTTACATTGCCTTTCCCAACTTTTTTAAAGAAAATTTCTTGTTCGTAAGACAGTGTACGCCCAATTTAAATGATGAGTAAATCAATATCTTGTCCTATTATTTACAAATTTACAGATTTTAAAGAAGATGCATTAATTATAAGATTTAAGTTTTCCTTCATTATTTTTAATTTTATGAAACGGTGATCAGTATTATTGCATAGATAAAGATTTAAGGCATGAAGAAAATGATAAAATATAATATAATAGTTAATAAAAATTGACAATATTTATAATCATTGATTTATCGATAGTTCATCAACTATATATTGCCCGTTTTGATCGGAGGTACCGGTTGACTTGAAGTGATGCTGTGACGCGCGCTCTAAGCCTCTATCTGAAAACGGTTCACCGTATGAAAAAAAAGTTTAAACAAAATTTGTAGAGAATTTTGTATTCTACAATATTGATAATAAATACCAAAAACCCATAGGAAATGAGATATTTAAAAAAAGCGCAAAAACGATTTTGTGACCTTTGACCTTGAAATTTAATAGTTGCATACACCCTACCATATGTAGGTTTTGAGACAACTTTTAGGTGTCAATATACAAGTTTTACAGACTTACAGCTGGGTATCTGAATTCCGAGGTGAACTTACTATAATGACTGGACTATACACTTATATGTCTAATGTAATAATTGCGATCCTCTGGTTGACGTTTCACATCAACTCATTATATTAATTTAGCTTCTTGGGTTGAGTTTATAACACATATTTTGATTTTAATATAATTTTCTTGACGCGATTAATATAATATATATCAATAAAACTAATGAGAACATGAAAACCACCAAATGTTCTCGACTCTTGAATTCCAGATCAAATAATATTGTTATTTAATGTAATTGTAATTATTTGCTAATAACTACCTAACTACCAGTAAGAGGTAATCATGTCCTTCCTAAGTCGGATGTATCGTCGGGATTCAACATTGCCTCAATCGGTTAAAGCCGCTTCGATTCGAATTCGCACTTATTTTTTTAAAAGCCAAAAACATGAACATGAACGTGTCTTTCAATAAATCGATTGTGGCAAAAGCTGTGTGACATGTTGTGCCGTCTTGTTGGAACCACAGCTCCTGGACATCATGGTTGTTCAATTCAGGAATGAAAAACTTATTAATTCACTCAAAATGCGGCAGTTTTGTTTGTAGACGTAGCTATTCAACCAGAAGTGCGTTTCATCGCTAAAAAAAAAAGTGCGCCATACGTAGTCCGCACAGAACCATTATTTTCGAAATAAAATTGCACTATTTGGAAGCGTTGTTCAGGCGTGAGTCTATTCATGACAAGGATGACATGATGCGAGACTCTCTCATTTTCGCTGATTTTTCTGTTATTCTCTTTCCCTGATTATTAAAATCAGGGAATTTCGAACAGCTGATGTCAAAAAAGGCGGGATGCCAGAAATAAACCCGCTAAAAATAGCTAACAAAAGCAGTGCGAAAAGAACGACACAAATACTTTTGAATAACGTGCAACTAAATTTTATTTGTTAATTTAATTTAAAACGTTCATTATAAAACCATGATATTTTATTATGACTTGTATTGTTTCTTTGTTATAATTTTTTTTATTTATATGCTAATTTTTTATGTTATATGCATTTTTAAAAATTTTATAATATAAATACAAGTATATAGGGATGTATATGCGTTATATAGGCCTACTTGGGGACGGAGCACCTAAAAATAATATCGAAATGCAAAATACCCCCCAAGTTTTTTTTATAATACCCAATCCATTTTCGTTCGACAGTGGCATGATTGGCAAATGTTATAAAAAATGTGGGTTTTGACAGCTCTCTCTCGATTCAAAGAGTCTCGCATCATTTCATCCTTGTTCATGATGAGTTGCCAAACCAAACTGAGAATAAATCACTTGACAGCTGTTAAATCGGTCGCCATCTTGAACAGTAATGCCAACTTAAAGTTCTATACCTCAAAAAAAAAACCCGTTACATACTTAATTATATGAGTCACACAATTAGCTACTGCATACTCATCGTCATTTCGAATTTTTAAACGCGGCTTATGCACAATTCATACTTCTAACACTTTTGAAACACACTTGATATTATTTAAAAAATTTGTAATAATCGATTTTACCATTATTTTTTAACAGATTTGGCTTATTTAAATATGTCATTCGTTAAAAATGGCATTAAGCATTAGAGTTGCTATGTATATATTTTTTTTTTCTGAAAATTCAAATTTTATTCCAACTTGAAATATTCTTGAAGTCTTAAAAAAATGAACCATTTCATAACATCTTTGATACAAATTCTTATCAATTGCTAACGAGAACATGAGCATATAATATAATATGAAGAATAAAGTAACACAAACATATTTTAGAGACTATTTCAACCAACCAATTTGAACCAACTTTGTCATCAAACACATGATTTCAAAGTTACCGTAACCTTGTATCATTGTATAATCCTATACAATGCCTCGTATTCTATGAACGTTGCCTGCAATCTATTATCAAGTCGGCATTATACTTATTCCTATTTCTCAAACTAAGTATACTAGATTTATGACATGCAATGTTTTCTTGTGGAGCTACTCGATGATCTGCAATTTTCCACTCATTGAAACCTACGTTCCCAAACTTAGTTTGACACTGACTGGACCAGAGGCCAAACAGCATCTACATGATCTTGTACTTTCAGAGTGTTTAACGAAAAACGGTTGTTATCTTATTTCGATTGTGTTGTATTAGGACATAAGTATGTTTGTAGTTTCTGTGCTCAAGACACTATTTTTACTTATATTTAAAAAAAAACTTTAAATTTTAACTATTTGTCGGATGATCTCTTCCTATTCTTCTCTTTTAATTTTTGCTTCCTTCTTGTACAACGAATGTATGTATGGTATATATCAGGACCCCGTTTCGGCTCATGTGGTAACTCGATCGCACACCATTCGGCTAAAGAATATCCATTTAAATGATAATATATGATATATAGGTAAGTGTAAATATATCGATTTTCTAATTAGCAACTTGTCTGACTTCATATTATCTAAAGATAATTTTTATTGTCAATTCGCAATCGTCCAAATATCAGTCATTGAGTTTATTTAAACTAAATATACTTATGTGTATATATTATCTCTATGAGGTATTAAACAAGTTTTTCATTTAAAAAAAATTAATCGATTAAAATAGGATTTTTTTTTTTGCAAGAACAAATTTGTTTGAAATAGAAAAGTTGTCGACTGGACCTTAATATTATATAATATTAATAATTGTGTTATTTTAGAATATTTAAGTACATAGTGGACAAGTTATAATAATTATCAGGGACGAAAATATAGTAAATTTCAATTATAATATCGATTCGCTGTGCGGATATTCTAAAAATTCATAATCGTTAAACTAAATTCACAAAGCGTTTAAAAGTTTTCCATGTAGAGACGTTAAAGTATTTAGCAATTAGCACTAATATATAATATGTACTATATTTCAATTTTGTTAAATATTTGAATTTCTGTCAAATGTGTGAAGTTCGTAACTAATTTTTCTATTACTTTTAATTCTGTAAACAGACTTCAGCCTACTCAGCCTGCTGGTAAATTCGCCTCTGCTACCAGCAGAAATATGCTACAATCCATACGGCACAGACCACCAAAATGTCTCTATCTGTTAGTGTTTTAAAAAACAGTAGATAGTTTGAGACGGTATGACACCTTAAATCGGCAAAAAAAATTAGATGCTTCAATGTTGCAAAAATAAGAAGCATGTGTTTTTATAAGTATAAAGTTATATATGGTACTTTATCTTTACTGTTTCAGTTATTGGTTTCATTCACATTGTAAAAGAAAAAATAAAAACATCAACGAAATTCACCACACAGATAGATGGATAAATGACCGGCAAATACAGATAACATTGGATTGTTTACATTCAGCTATAAGGATTTAAGTGCCAACAACCTCTCTACTTGGGGGTGTATTTGTATGACTTTTTTAACGTTTGTGTCAAATGAGAAAATCGATATTCCTTTGACCAATTCAACTAAGAATTTCACCACCCAACTGCGATTGTCGTGTTTAGTTGGTAGCTTCCAAACAGTCTTCGATAGTATTCTTTGCTAGATGGTGGTGACTTGCTACCAGGAACCTTATATTTTAACAAAAAAATATGTAAATAGTTATAAAGTGCTAAATTATTACTTTAATATAATAACAGTAAAGAGCGATGTAAAAGTAACCGTAAGAACTAGTTTCCATTCAGTATACGGTTTCTAAAAGTGTAACCATCACGTTTCCGATAAGTTTCAATTGTGTTATTAATGTCGGTGTTTGCAATGGAAGTGTTATGAAATAAGTTAAATTTTTTGGGTAAGGTAAGGAAGCGTGATAGGAGAGAAATTTTCTTCTTCTAATTTTATAGAATTTAATATGAATAGTATACAAGGAAAGAATAAGTATTTTACTATTATTAAGGCAGAGAAGAGATTTATTAAATATTCTTAGAAATTATTTTTATACAATGAATTATGTACACATATACATATATGTATAAATATTCTTATGGTAAGCGAATGTGTTAAATGTTAGTTATATGCCTAGTTCCCTTTGAGTAAAATTATAGAACTACTACAAACATATACACTATATATGTATGTAAGCAAGTTCATAGATGTAGGTATGTTTATACAGATCAGCGTACATATGAACGGTTTGAGTATCTATCTACATATTTCGGAATACATCTAATATGACTTTAGTATATAGTTTATTTGTATATCCTACGAGACGAGCGGTGCATTTATTAAAACATTCCGTTGAGTATGGAGTCTTATTGTTTTTCTTAGACTTAAATAACGCGCTACATTCGTCTTCCCTTCTTCTCTAGACATTGTTCTATATTCTCCTTTACACAATAAGATTTACCAAATATATGTAGGAATCGTTATTATATTATAGCCAAATAAATAGCCAACCGGTTTCCTAAAATCAATATAAGTAAAAATCGGGGTCTCGGCAGTATATTGGGGGTTATATTCTTTACTTACCACTTTTTTTCATATGTATATAAAATTATACTCTATTTACCTTTGATGTGTTATTTTGAACATGGAACATGTTTTTTTGTTAACGATGGGGTTTTCCGAGGATTTCCAGCGCATAATTTTTTCAATAACAAACTTTGATTTTAACCCTCTAACGCCCGATATCGGGTCGCCTATTGAAGACGATCAAATGACTTGTCGTATGATTTATACAAATGGCTTAACTAGTCATCTGAAATTTTTTTTTATGTTTTACTTTAAGTCATAACTGTGTCTTTATCTCAATGTTAGTAGACTGAGATCAGTAGCCACAACACAAAATAGTGTTATAGTAACCAAGACTACTTTACCGGCATCTATATTCTGGTATCCATACGTAATAGGATGTACATTTCTTTGAAAAGTTTAGATGAAAGGATGCTTCTAATAATAAAAAAAAGTATTTTATGCAAATACAGTCGTCAGCAAAATTATACGAGTGTCATTATGAAAACTGTATGGGTAAATCTTTTTTTTGAATTTAAGCTGCCATACCAAACTAAAAAGAAAATTATTTAGGTGCAGTTAAGTTAGTGTTTAATTTTATTTTATCAAGATAACTTTCACCTTAAAAGAAATCAACGAACGTGCCAAGCAGTGCAAAGATCCAGGAATGTGTAAAAGCCGAAATATTGCTGTTTAACGAAATTGCTTAGCAAAGTTTTGAAAATCTTTAATTCACTTTTAAAAATAATTTCATGCCAAAAATAATTCACAGATTGTATTATTTTTTGCAACAGGATTTACAAAATAGAATATTTTAAAAGTTAACAATTGAACAATTCCCATTTTTTGTGTGCACTCCTTTGTATACAAGTATAGTTTTGTTTTTTTATAGTAGGGAGAAGCATCGATAGCCGAAGTGCTGAACTTTAATCCGCTAACCCTAACCTACTCCCATCTCATATCTCTCCCACGGAACCACTGTAATAAGTATTACCTCATGGGAGGGAAGAAGACATTTAAATCTCCTCTATAGTACTAACCGACTAATGCCTAATTTGTTGTAAGTGCCTCAACCTTGTCATAATCAGAGCTGACGCTTCGCTGACAGCTTTTCAGTTAATAGAGGATTCACACATAAGTGCTGTCAAATTTTCCACCGTGAAACTATCGCCAAGTGTAGTTTTCAGATTTTCTCTTATACTTGAGAACCGAGGGCAATGGTAAAAAACCTATTCAGAGTCTTCTATACACTCTGTACACGTCGGCCAATACGGACTATAGTCTTGACGGAATTTGTAAAGGTAGATTCTAAGGCACCCATGCCCACTTAGTCAGGTGGAAATCCAGGTCCCCATGTTGTCTATCTATCCACGGTATGATGTCTGGTATCAGTCTGTGGGTCCACCGTCCTTTGGATGAGGTTTGCCTCCGTTGCTGCCACATTGTGATGCTCTTGGTTCTTTCCTCTCTTTTTGCTACTGTAGAGGGTTCCGATAGCTTCAGCAGCGTCGCTTGATATGGTTCGGAAAGCACTTATCACGTGTTTTGCAGAAAGCCTATGCGCTGTGATTATTGGTCTAGCATATGATTTTGTGTCTAGCGCCTGGATCCATATTGCCTTAGCTATTAAGAGTTGTCGGCTGGAACGCACACAGCCTCTATTTGCCATCATTCTAGATAAAGAATTATATATTTTATTTGCTTTACCCGTCGTGAGCGATATTTTTTCTTTAATTTTCTTGGAGTTAATGAGCAAGATTTCTGTTTTCTGCTCAGTCAACTCTAGATTCATGGTAGCGAACCACCGTCGTATACCATTTATGCAATCATTGCATTTGACCCGGAGGTCATCCGCATAGGGGATTAGTTTTACGGATTGTTGTTGACGTTTTCTTAGCCCCTTGTTGTACATCAGGTTCCAAAGAAGGGGGGCTAAAACCAATTCTTGCGGTACTCCACTCGAAATAGAGTAGCTCTTGGTACCCTCCTTGGTCTCGAATAGCAGATTTCTATTCTCAAAATAACACATAATAATATTTATGAGGTATTTGGGAGCTCGTATTTCATACAGAGCCTTGATGATATTTGCTCATTCCGCAGAATTGAATGCATTCTCACATCCGAGGTAATTAGTGCGCAATATTTTTTTGTGCCACCTTTCCATCTTTTTCCACTTATTGCACATTTAGCAATATCAACGACTTCACTTAGTGCGTCAATAGTGGACCTCTTTTTTATAAAGCCGTATCGACTCTCTAATAATCCGCCGGCTTTTTGGATTGCTAAACTTGCAACTATAGGTTTGTATTCCTATATATGTATGTTCCACGAGTGTAGCAATCAAAATCAACTTCATCATATTTGTGTAGATCATTGTTCGTAACGTGTCTCTACAACTACACATTTCTTTCGCGAAGAAATTAAATAATAACTAAACTGTATAACTTGTTCCCAATTATTTACGGTATATACCGCGTGGGCCCTTATAACTATCGGACTTGTTTGAAGCTTCGTTAGGCTGAGCCAACTAAGTTTGAATATTTTCCCGTTACGCATATCTATTGTCACATATATTTAGAATATACGCAATATAATTTTAAGTTGAAACGAATTCATGGTCTAACGGAACGACGAAAGGAAATGAGAACAGAAATGAATTGAATGATGAGAAGCTTTGTATTACAGGCAAGCCATAACTCACAAAATGACCGCTTTTATGCAATCAGTGTGTCTGAGATTCCAGCTGATAAAAGAGCTATTAAAAGGTATCAAAACACAACCTCAACCTGTTGTAGGTATGATGGGGAATTTAACAAAAGTAAAAAAGTTAAAACTGGACCAGCTTAAGAGCCAAATTCCAGAAAAAGTTGTGCGGGCTGTATTCCAAAACCGTGTGAAAACTAATAAAAAAACAAGTTTTCATAACTTCAATGTACATTTTTTGTTTTATGCGGAAAATTAGGTGCGACAGTTTGTAGGGCCCACGCTGTAATATCAACTATTGAACAAGATATCGTATACATACATATTTGTATATATGTACATGTCTATTTCGTTCGCTAAAAATATTCTTCATAAATATGTATATTAAAACAAACAAGTGACGTAATAAAGACCAAAACCAAAGCCAACTTCATTATCCAATTCAATTGATAGTGCTTATTTTCAAATATTTGTTTTTGTTATGCACGTTTATTCGCGGCTATGAACAAGAATTTTGAAAATCTATTACAAAGCGGCGCCGGTGACATGTCCTCCGAACGCCAATCGTCGGAAGATGTGCACGAATCGACAGCTGAGGATGCCAGGTTGGATGCGGGTGATGATTTTACCGATGACACTAACTTCGAATCAAATCTGCGTAGACGCAAGGGCAAAATTATATCTTGTGCCAAGGAAACGATTGAAAATGGTAAGTCAATATTAATTTATTTATTTCTTATTTACACTTCCTGTTGCATCAGAGCGCGATTTTGTTGAATGACATAATAACACTATAATCATTCTGATTAAGTTCATTTACCCGGATCGTTATTTTTGAGCGACCTTCATTCCATGTGATCTCTTGTAAAATCAAAAATTTTTTTTTGTAATTATTTTGTGTTGAAGATCTATCGTTTTTTTTAAGTGTGATTTAGGGCGAGCAACTAGATTATCCTTATCACGACTTCGTAGCAGATACTGTAGTAGAGGAAACTAATATCAATACGCACTAATATCTGTAAGCACTACCCACTACATGAAACGAGTCTTTGCAATTCTTTGTATGCCGCCTCATACTCATACTTTATCGTTCTCCCAATGATTCAATACCGCCAAAACAGTTCATATCGCGGATATCGAACGAATCACAAAACTAAACAGAGCTTTATTAGTAACTATAACATTTCCATTGAGAGTTTTTAAGGGGCTTTGCTGTGCAACTGGTTTGGAGCAAACAATAGATTATAGTTTGAGGAGCACAGCATAAAATTACAGTTAAAATAAAATATAATTAATAGCAAATAAAAAAATAAATAAGAATGTAATGAGCAAATATCCTCATCACATTTTATGTTACTAATATAAAAAATGAAAAAAAAANACAAGTCCAATCAATTAGTTTGCGTGTTAACCGTGAATTTGGGTCACTTGTACTTCAAGGCTCACAGCAAGTTTTCATATAATTTTGTGTTGCCACTTGAGAAAACCTTTTGGTACCTAAATGACTACCAAATCTTTTGCAAATCTACTAAGTCTTCTTATCATCATTGGGTTTTATTTCACTTTACATTTGGAAAATTATGTACATACATATAAACCTTAAATTTAGCTACATACACACCTTTCCTTTTCTTTAAGCCAATTGAATATTTTTAACCACTCCCCACGAAAATTTCACTTTGAAGGTAAGGCCTACATTCAGCACTACAAAATATTGTCAAGTTGTCAAAATTCTAAGAATTAAACAGGGGGTTCTGCAGAGAAGACTCCCTCAACCACCAGAGGGAATTTCCATCACTTCATATGCAGATGATTGTACGATATTGACGTCAGGCAATGGAATCGATGGCATGTGTTCGAAAGTAAACAGCCATCTCACCGATTTTTCTCGCTTTTTCGCTGAAAGGGGCCTGACACTCTCCTCCATTAAATCCATATCGACCATATTAAAGAACTGAACGAAGAAGTATAAACTGAATCTCAATATCACAGTCGATGGCGTTAAAATTTCGATGTCAACAACCCCAAAGTTTTATCCCTTACATTTGACAGTCTGTGCTGCATCACTCCATATACGACCGCGATTAATGCCACTCGCCAGCTAGCAGCTCCTGGGGGAAGGACAAAGACATGTGATTGGCAACATACAAGGCAATCGGCTGGCCGGATGAAGTGAAACGTAGACGAGGAAGCTTCGGGCGTATCAGAATACTGCTTTCCATACCATTACAAGATGTCTCCTGTCGAACAATTACATCGTGAGGCCTGCATGCTTCCGGTCAAGGTGCGCAACGCACTCCTCACCGAGCAGATTACGCTAGGATGATCTCGTAGAAACAGTAGTTGGAGTCAAACCACCACCCATAGCTGACGAAGAGCTCGAGTTGCCCCGAGAATTTAGAATGACCCCTGCGTACCCATATTCTGGATACTGTAGCTGGATAGACTCCTACTAATCGTTTAGTTTGGACATACCGAATATTTGTCCTTCACCACCTAAGCGGGTATTAGATAACCGCTATAACAACAACAATATTGTCAAGTTGTCAATTGACATATCTCAAAAGCTTTAGTTTTCATTTACCTAACGTCGATATCATTTTGTTCGCTTACTGCTTAAGTTTTAGGTACTTTATTGTTATTCGAAAACCAGTCCAAATAATAATATTAACAATTATTTAAAGTAAAACTAAAGTATTTAATTGTTTATGAGCTCCTTTTTCTTAAATTTGATGCATGAAATTAAAGAAACGCGAATATATGAAATTCTTGACATTCTCCATTATTATTACACACTTTCAATTATAGTTATATTGCTCATTTACTACACATAGAACAGATGGTTGCTATTCTGTTTGAACCGGATCAATACTTTCTTTAATATAAAATTTTTCCAACAC